AAAGTGTTAGTTTGATTCCAATCTCTTTCCTCTATTAGAACATCTTGAGGAGTAGGCCTGGGATAGTAATATGTTTGCATACTAGATTTTCTAGCATAAGCAGTATTACCACTATTCTTCTTTGGATACTCATGAAGTTTATTAACTTCCATTTCCATTTGAGTTTTGAAATCAAAAGTGGCTTCCATCTCATCTGCAAAATCTTCAGCGAGACTAATTTCTAAACTGGTTCCATTTTTCATTTAAAAAATTGTTTTGAATATATTTTCTTGCCAGTGAACCTGGACTAAAATCAATTTGATGTTCACTCATCATTAAGTATCATTAAGCTTAAAATCCATCTCGGATACAGAAGGAATATCCTTATCAGAAACATCAGATGCTTTATCATTCGTTTGAACAATGTTTAACCGAGGATCAATTTTAATTTTTTGTTTTTCTGTAGAAATAACTGTTGATAAAGTATGTAATGAAGCAGCGCGATTTCTAGCTAGATCATAACAAGGATTTATCGGAGAAATATGTTGAATAACCAGTCTTCTATCAGAAGCAAAATAATGTCTACTATAAGGAACACTTTTTTCATCAAACTGTATACAAATTTTTGCATCGAAATTTTGACTAATATAAGAATATTCAGAATTGGTGACAATATCTGTCAGTTGTTCAGGAGGTATAACAGAATCTAGAGTCCAAGTTGTAGGAAAATTAATTTCTTTCCATTTTATAGGTCTTCTAGTAGTGACCTTAGATTTGGCGAAATTATTTTTACCAAAATAGTTTGATCAGATGTATCGTATAACTTACATCTAGGATTCAAAGTAGCAAGTAATTTAAAATAGATTCTATAAGACAAGTAGATTAATTCAGAACCAGCTGCATAGTTATAACCATGCGTTTTAACATTCAAGTTAAAGCATCTAAGATATTAGAATCAGTCAAAGATAACTGCAAATTTGGTTGAGCATTAAAATAGACTGGACCATAGGCCACTGTAGATTCTATTGAACCCATCAAAGATTGTCAAAAATTTAAATTTCTCGCATCTCGTAAAGCCACTAAGAAAGTCTCAGGTAACCCTTTAAGAGTTAAAGGTTTAAAAGCAATTTGAACCATGCCAATATGCAAAAACTTATATTGAGATCTATATAAATCAATATCTCGCTTATTTAATAAACGAATAGTTTGTTCAGATGAGTTTAACGCCAAAGATTGCTTTGTTGTTTTAATCAACTGTTTATTTGAGATTTTATCAAACCAACCATAATCATAAATAGTCTTTATATTCACTTTCGGAATAGTCAATTTGTTTAACAAATCAAGGTTTTGAGGTATATCTACCTCTTCTTACCGAGTACTTTTAATATCTTCTTGATCCATAAAGAGAGAATATATCTATGCCGAAATTCTTCACATCAATTATATATATACCATGAAAATATATATAGAAAGAAGCAAATTTTCTTTTTGATTATTTAAAAAATAGAGCAGAATATTTAACTACCAACGAGAACTAGATAGACAAGAAAATAATTCAATAAAATAAATAATTCAACATAGGAAAGATTGAATGAAGTAACTAAACAAAAAGAGGAAGTAGGATTAGGAAATAATATCTGAAATGGTCACTCAACTATGAATAACTTTCTAAAAAATTCACTCAACTATGAGTAGTTTTCTCAGAAAGTCACTTAACTTTGTTTTATAACACAAAAGTCACTCAACTATGTGTAGTTATCTTAGAAAGTCACTCAACTATGAATACTTATCTTAGAAAGTCACTCAACTATTAGTATTCTACATAAAACGTCACCCAACCAATTTAAAGAATTTTTTCATTAATTTTTGTTGACTTGTAAATTTTTATTTTAAGCTAAATTTTTAAGAAATAAAAAGATCTTCATTATAATTTTTTTATTGACGTGTCCCACTAAAATTAAGTAATATATAATATAACAAAATTTATAACTATAGTTAATAAACAAACTTATATCTAAAGTACCAATATAAATTATAAATACAAAAACACACAACTCAGTTACACATTTTATATAAAAAATTTAGCTTATAATTGAGTAATCAGTTAATTATATATGTCAACGTTTGAGCAATAGTTAGACAATAACAAAGATTCCAATGTTTCTAATTATATGAGAAAAATTAAAGTAGCAAATTATATCGTCATATTTGAGTGATTGCTTTAAATATTATTTTAAATGCATATAAAATGAAGTGATCTTGCTAAATATATATTTCTATATAATTTTAGTGGGGTGCATCAATAAAATGATTAAAATTGACACTTTTTTTATTTTTAAAAAAAATTAGTATAAAATAAAAATCTCATGTCAACAAAATTTAATGAAAAAATTATTTAGATTATTGGTAAAGTGATATTTCAAGATAAATATTCATGATTGAGTGACTTTCTAAGATAACTACACATAAGTGAGTGACTTTTGAATTTATAAATAATTTTTATGACCGCGCAAAGCGCGAAAATGTTCACTAGTATTCATATATGTATAGAGTAAAATTACAAGATGTGTGGTCATTAAATGATGACATGTGGAAGAAGAAAAGGACAATGCAAATATATCAAAATCAGATGATACAATTCACTTTGCACGAATATAATCGAAAAACGTCGAGTGTCCGAAAGTAAAGTCAACGAAAAAAACTAATCGTTATAAAATCGCCACAAAACAATGCCACACATTACCTTAGGGGTGTTCACGGTTTGGATAAAAACCGATCCAAACCGAAAAACCAAACCAAACTGATAAAATAAAATCGATTTTATTTGGGTTTGGTATGATTTGGTTTTAGATTTTTTAAAACCGATAGTATTTGGTTTGATTATGGTTTTATTAAAAAAACCCCGAAGAAGTAACCAAACCGAACCGATGAATTATATACATATATTTTATTAATATACATACTTAATATATTGTTTTTATAAACAATTTTAAAGATCTTATACATATTTTCATTAAAAATTTCTTTATAATTTACTTATTGAAAGAAAAAAATGCCCAAGATGAAACATTTATCTTATTGATTTCACGTATATGAGTGTCTATGACAATTCTTTGTGGGACTGAAAAATGTTATTGTCTCTTCCTTCTAGGACTAATATAGTGAATTTTAAAGCTTTATTGATAGTAAATTTAGTGATCGAAAGTTCAGTAATTTAAGTCATTCTAACTATTTTTCGTTTTGAATGGATTGTTGTCACTTTGTTCACATTTTAAATGAATTGTTTCTTTTATTTTTGTGTATGGTTAATAACCGAATAACCGAACCAAATCAAACCGAAACCGATAATCACCAAATCGATAAATGTATATTATATTTGGTTTGGTTTGATTTTGATAATTTTAAAACCGATTAAGTTGGTTTGGTTTTGATTTTGATCAATAACCGATCCAAACCAACCCGTGAACACCCCTACATTACCTTTTTATCCTTAAGTGCCATTTAATTAATCATAAATTAAGAAAGAATCATTCTTTAACAATCAGATCCATAAAATTTATCATTATACAAGCAATGTAATCTTCAAATTATACTGCATCGAATCTTTAACTAATTACTCATATTTTTCTTTAGCAATATCATTTTTGTTCGTCAATTTTGAGCATTCATCAAGTTCGTCCAAAAAAACTTCTACGGTGGATTTATTGGAATCAAATCAACACATTGCTACTTTTGGCTTTATATTATCATATTCAGATTTTGTCGTAAGCTTTTTTTAACACATCATTTTACTTACATATTTCGTTATTCAAATCAATCCAATTCACATAAACTTTAAATTACCTCACATATAAATTCAATTGTTTATTTTTAAGGTTAACAATATTATCTCATTAAAGTTGTAAATTAGTATTACAAAAAATATAATCTCGTGATAACTTAAATTGCAAACCAACCAACCAACCCTATTGTTAATATTAAAGGCGGTAAAATTAAAGAATCCGATCCGAATTCTCATGCAAAAAGGTCAAAAAATATATTCGTCCTCCTACCCACTATATGCCATTTGCCACGTCTTTTTCTTATTATTTAAAAAATAGGCCCAACTATATTTATTATATTTTTTATTTATTTATAACTACTTTATTAAAACATCACACTTCTCTCTCTAAAAATAAAATAACGTTCATCCGAAAATCCCGATTCTTCCAAAAAAAAAAGAGAAGAAAAACAAATCAAAAAAGAAAAAAAACGGATCCAAAAAACATGCCCCGATAAAAATAACAACAAACCCTAACCCTAGCTTTCCTATTTCGCACGCACGAACGAACGAACGAACTCTTCTCTCTCATCATCAACATCTTTCTCTGTTTTCCTCCTCCATACGAATTACAAATCTCAGAGCGTTAATCTGTATTGTATCGCTGTAGATTTGTTAAGGTTTTCCGGTTGTCGGTGGTGGTGGTGATGTATGTTGCAAGGGTGGTTGTGGAAGTGGATGGTGGCGGCGGCGATGACTGGTGGTGATGGTGGAGGGAGATGTCAGCGGCGGAGGAAGATGATGGTAAGGATTAACGAAGGGGAGGAAAAGAAGCCATGTTCAATATCTCTTGTACCTAGGGTTTCGGAAAACGAAATTACAGAAAAGCCCTCAAAGTTGGAGAAAATTACGGAACTGCCACAACAAGCTAAAGAAATTGAGAATGGGATAGACTTTTATACACAGGCAAGAAAAGCTTTGTCTCTACGTTGTCCTTTTGATTCTGAGGATTCTAATTCTCAGTCACAGCCATCTTCTTCATCTACTCTGCACCTTACTTTACCTAATAACTTAGCTCAGTTGTTAAATAAGAATTCTGATAGTAGAAAACGGCATAAGAAGTCTCATGCAGGAACTGAAACTAAGAAGAAGTCGTCTTCGCGGCAAAAAGGGGGTCGGAATAGTGGATTCTGGGATGATGTGGAGGAATACTTTCGTGTATTATCTGTGGAAGATATTGATAGATGGTCTAAACTTGGGTCTTTCGAGTTTTTGGGTAATGATAAAAAATTATTGTACGTTCCTACATCTGACAATGTGGGCAGTGCAGTGAATGATAGTGGGGTGACGGCTAAAGAAGAGAAGGAGAATGAGCAATTTATGGACGTGGACAGTGAAGGAGGAAAGGAAACTGAATTGCCTAAAGAAGAAAATGATGGAAATGTGAAGCCCTGTTCGTCCCCCTCTTTGCCTTTCAGTGGGTTGGAGTGGCTATTAGGTTCTAGGAATAAGATATATATTGCCTCTGAACGACCTTCAAAGAAAAGGAAGCTTTTGGGTGGAGATGCAGGGTTGGAGAAGCTTCTAGTTGCTCGCCCTGTAGAAGGGTCAGATTCATTTTGTCACTATTGCAGTTTAGGCGACCATGGTGATGTGCTGAACAGACTGGTTGTTTGTAGTTCTTGTAGTATCCCTGTTCATCAGAGATGCTATGGTGTGCAGGATGATGTTGATGGCACTTGGTTGTGTTCTTGGTGCAAGCAAAATAATGAGATGGTAAGTATTGACAAGCCATGTGTTCTTTGCCCAAAAAGCGGTGGTGCTCTGAAACCTTGTAGGAAAAGAGGTCTGGGAAGTGAAGAATCTTCTCGACTGGAGTTTGTTCACTTGTTTTGTTGTCAGTGGATGCCTGAGGTATTTGTTGAGAATACTAGGATCATGGAGCCGATAATGAATGTTGATGGCATAAAGGATACACGGAAGAAGTTAATTTGCTATCTGTGCAAGGTGAAACATGGGGCGTGTGTTCGGTGCAGTAATGGTATGTCTTGCTGCTTCCTTACTTTACCATTCCTGCATTTCTTCGTTTGATGATTTTCTCGAAGATGTTTGGTTTGGTTAATTGGAAGCTACTATTTGACATAGATAAACGTTTTTCTATTTATAGTCAGTGACTTCATTGGCATGTGTATATACAATTCATCCTGTATTCTTTTACAGAAAAAATGTTTGCGTATTTGACTTTCTTGTATATACTTATATCAGTTTTCTTGGGCTTTCATCTTATTTTATCAATCATTTGTAATTGTGCAAGAATTAAGAAGAAATAAATCTTATTTGGTTGCAGTGTTCATTCTTTTTTGATTGCCGTGTTCATTCTCCACTTCGTCCACTCTGTTCCTACAACTCATGAAAAAGGTTGTAGATCTTTCCTTATGTTCTCTTCTTGAAACACGGGTTTGGAGTTACAATGTAGGACAGCTGGAAAGAGTGACACCGATGTGATTCAGTTATGAACTTGATATACCTGTTATTTTTCTGAAATGTACTTGGGGCTGTTGACTTCCATTGGTTAAGAGAACGTGGAAACTTTCTGCAGATTATACTTTTTTTTGTCGTAGTTTCTCTTTCCTTTCTGTTTCCCATTTTCAGTCTGGGGGGAGTTGGGGTGCTTTTCGCAAAAATATATTTGGGTCATTAGAATATGAGGAGGTCACTGGATCAGAGATTTTGATCAGTAAATATATAGGTTACAGCCCAAAGTTGAAGCTGTAGTTGCTGATAAACTTCTAAGCAGTCCCTAGAATAGCTTTACTGGTTACATCATTCTATGTAGAGAACTTTCTTTTCAGTGATGAGAATTTGTTTGGTGTCAACCACTCAAAGACTTTCTGCAATTTGAAGGGGATATGTAGTAGTTTCTTCTTGTTGAGATGGTTCAGAGATTACAACAAGAACATACCCAGTGTAAACCCACAAAGTAGATTCTGGGGAGGGTAGAGTGTATGCAGACCTTACCCACTACCCTAGAGGTAGAGATGCTGTAGATGGTTGAATAGAGGCTATAAGTTTAAGGTCTGCGTACACTTTATCCTCCTCAGACATCACTTGTGGGATTACACTAGGTATGTTGGTGTTAGATTTCACCAAAAAGTCAAAAGCCATAAACAATTGTATTTAAGCTGTTGTACACTAACGATTTCTCTTTAGAGCATCTCACATTTCTTTCCTTCCATGTATTACAACATATAGACACAGGAACGCTGCACCTAATCCTTTTTAATGGTTTATTAATACCCCTGGAGTTTAAGTAGCTCTTTGACTGTGTTTGGAATACTAATAGTGATCTTGAAACAATAGAAGAATAATGTCCAAATTTGTCCAACCACCGAGCAATGCAAAAATATGTGGCTGCCATTTTCCACTCCTCAAGGATTCTCGTTTAACTCAAGACACTTTATAATTGTGAATTTCTAGTTATTAACTAGAGAAATCTTGTTTATTATCATATCATATGAGCTTGCACTTGAGCTTAGCTTTGTCCTAGAATAGTAAGGAGTTGAGATCGTTTAACTTGAGCTTGGATGGTTTATGATCATGATCAATTTGTATTGGATATATATACTCATTACCCTGTTTGAAAAAATGTCCAAGTTTGTGCTTGAATTAAGTGAAATGGTCCAAGTATGCCTTGTGAATAGTTAGGGCCAGCTTTGCTCTTGTTGTTACATAAATTGGCCTACATATGCGCTTAGATGCAAATGGAGCATTAGTTGGATCTGATTAGCATCTAATCATTTTGATTTGCAACTTGGACTCCACGATTCCTTCACATGGCTAACTATTAATGCAGGGCATATCTACCACTTTGCAGAATTTAGGGACAACTTTTACCCTTTTTCCTTTATTTTTTCCCTTCAAGTTTTTATCATTCACTCTTCCAAAAAGGTGAAAAATCACCTCATCACTTCCTTATCCAAGAGCTCTTTTCCACCGCAAAACCAACACCTTTAAACAACCCCCTTTTATCACCCATATCTTAACTCAGGTTCTTTCTCGAACCATCTCCAACCTACGTATTCGAAGATGGTGTTCTTAGTATTGTTATTTTTGTGCCTTTTTTTGGTGGGTCTGGTTGATGAAGGTTGTTTTTGGTGATGAAAGTTTCCTATGGTGGGTTCTATTGTAGTAAGAAGGTAGTTGGTGATTTTTTTCTCTTTGGGGAAGGCCACTGGTGGGGAACGGTGATGATATATGGTGCTTGTTGGTCGGCTAGTGGTACTTTCATGTGAGGGGTGAGGGGACCACTAGGTGATGGGTGAGGGGTGTTGACGGTGATGATATATGGTGCTTGTTGGTCGGCTAGTGGTACTTTCATGTGAGGGGTGAGGGGACCACTAGGTGATGGGTGAGGGGTGTTGACGGTGATGATATATGGTGCTTGTTGGTCGGCTAGTGGTACTTTCATGTGAGGGGTGAGGGGACCACTAGGTGATGGGTGAGGGGTGTTGACGGTGATGATATATGGTGCTTGTTGGTCGGCTAGTGGTACTTTCATGTGAGGGGTGAGGGGACCACTAGGTGATGGGTGAGGGGTGTTGACGGTGATGATATATGGTGCTTGTTGGTCGGCTAGTGGTACTTTCATGTGAGGGGTGAGGGGACCACTAGGTGATGGGTGAGGGGTGTTGACGGTGATGATATATGGTGCTTGTTGGTCGGCTAGTGGTACTTTCATGTGAGGGGTGAGGGGACCACTAGGTGATGGGTGAGGGGTGTTGACGGTGATGATATATGGTGCTTGTTGGTCGGCTAGTGGTACTTTCATGTGAGGGGTGAGGGGACCACTAGGTGATGGGTGAGGGGTGTTGACGGTGATGATATATGGTGCTTGTTGGTCGGCTAGTGGTACTTTCATGTGAGGGGTGAGGGGACCACTAGGTGATGGGTGAGGGGTGTTGACGGTGATGATATATGGTGCTTGTTGGTCGGCTAGTGGTACTTTCATGTGAGGGGTGAGGGACCACAGGTGATGGTGAGGGGTGTTGTTGTTTTTTGGTTTGGTCTCTAGTGGAGCTTTTTTCGTGGGTCTCACGTGGCCATTTTCTTAGAAGGGTTCTGGACAGGGGGAAGAAAGGAGAGTGGAAGAGGGTTACTGGTAGATTTTTGGCCCCTTTTGAACCAGTTCCCAGCACCTCATATTTTTTTGGGGTGTCTGAAGATTCGATCGGGACCAGTGGATGAATGAGGTTATGGAGGATTTGTGGAATGGATGTGAGAGGCCAAAGCTTTTGTTGTATACTGGCAATGGAGTGAGAAAAGAGAGATGGTGAGAGCTTGCTGCCTTTTCTCTTTTTCTGCTAGTGTTGTTTTTAGAAAAGGGGGGGGGATCGAGGAGTTATTTTGTGGTGGTTTTTGCCTAGAAGGTGGCTCTGTGAGGTGGTTTTTTTTTTGTTTTGAAAGATGAAACAATGAGTGAAAGGAAATAAGGGGGAAAGGTGTCAAGTTTGCCTTTAAACTTTGCAGATGTTATAGACGTGCTCTTTGTTAGCCATGTGGTAGACCAGTGTTGTCCAAAGCGAGAAGCGCCAAAAAGCTCTAAGGTCCGGATGGGGATTTAAGTCCAAACCACAAATAAAATGAGGGCTTTAATGGAAAGAAGGCGCAAATAGAAAAAAAATACAAATATATATATGTTTAGTCCAAGGCTAATAAATATAAGTATGAATAACAATCTATGGACAAAGAAATTGATTTTTTCACAGTAAAATAAAATACTAATTGTTTAGCGTCATCGCTGCAGAAAACATTCGTTCACAAGGAAAAGTTTTTGTTTTAGAGCCTTACTGACGACACTGAAGCGCACATTTAGCAGATGGCGTTTTACATGCCTGTTCTGTAAAAATACTCTCATGGTTTGCTATCCTTAGAAGAGTTTATGATGTAATGTAATTTCAAACTACCAAGGCAAACTATTTGTACAGCAATGCAATTTCAGCAACTGAGACAATTTAGTTTCTATCCGGCTTAGTCAGATACTGAATTTTGTGTGCAATTGGTGATTAAATTTGGCCAGTTTCATGTGACATTGCTAAATATTTTGATAGTGAGTCTTGTAGAGGTGGAATATAAAAAAAAAACTGCATTATAAGTCTACCTTTACCCCTCTTCTAAAAAACTCCTATCATGTACATTGCTTGGAGAGAGAAGGAAAACCAAATAAACTGAAAGATTCGGTCTGACAAAATCATTCGTTATACTCTATTTCTATAGACTTCCAGGGCTTGTTCTTTGTTAACTTCTTTTCTTAATGATTGTAGGAGCTTGTAGGACTTCTTTCCATCCTATATGTGCCAGGGAAGCAAGCCACAGAATGGAGATATGGGGGAAACTTGGATGTGATGATGTGAGCTCTTGCTTTCTGTTTTTGAAAATTCTTATTCTTCCTGTCGCGGCTCTTTTTACCTGTAATATTGAACTGATAGTCCTTTTCTGATTTCGGTTTTTGAATTGATGTTATTTTATACTAAATGTACTTTGATCCTTCATTTTGTAACATCATGTTGATTTAAAGTGTCTTCCTTGTTACTCTTTACCTACTTATTTCCAATGCTTTTAGGTTGAATTACGTGCATTCTGCTCGAAGCATTCAGATTTCCAGATCAGCAGTAGCAGTCAACAAGGTAAAGGCACTGCAGTAGACGTTGTTTCTTGCTCCACAGATAACAATCAGTTGGCTGCGTCAGTCACAGCCAAACCACACAAGTTAAAGCTTGGCTTAAGAAATGGAGACAAAATGGTGTTGCACACGGACAGTTCCATCTCAGGTTTAGATAAGTTGAATGATGATGGATTGCAACAGGAAGGGCTGCTGGAGAAGGGCTTGAATCTTAGACACCAAACAGAATACGGTGTTTCACAGCAGCCTGTTAATAGGGACTTGTGTGAAAACAAAGATGGTGATGTGGCTGATCCAGTAGATTTCACCATGATATTGAAAAAGGTATTGTCATCTAGGCTAAGTAGCAACTGTACATTCACATACTCATAGATCATGTTGGCAAATCTTGAAAACTGTGATGAAATGATACACCGATATATTAGTCTTTGCATCATTGCATGTGTGGTTTTCTCGGGTATATATACTCTGTGTATTAACACAGTTCAATGAATGCCCATTGGAGGTGCAGAAATGTCCACGTAGATATCGGACTCTGTCAATATGAAAATTAAATAAGATACGATGGTCTGTTTGACCATGGGTGACTGATTTTGTTCTGGAAGTATATACCCCATAAGATTTGGTATCTGTACTTTTAATCTGGAGAACGTTTTTTTCTTCTTTGATTCTAGTTTTATTTGGCATTAAATTTATAAAATACTGAATATATTCATTTTGTAGTTAATAGAGCAGAAAAAGGTTGATGTAAAAGATGTTGCTGTGGAGATTGGTGTACCTTCAGATTTGTTGGCCTCAATGCTCAATGTAATATTCTTTGTTCTAGTATTCTCCTCTATACTTTTCGTGTATTATGCACATGATAAGAAACTCAAGAATTCTGTCTCTTTTGAAGATGAGTTGATTTCTTTTTGATAATGCACTGATACTTCTCTTGATCTACAATTCTGCTAATTGCAGGATGGTAAAATGGTTCCTGACATACGGTCCAAGGTAGCTAAGTGGTTGAAGAATCATGCTTATATTGGAAGTTTACATAGAACTTTAAAAGTCAAAATTAAATCCACAAAAGCCCCAAAAGTTGGGGCTGGTGTGGTGGATGATTTGGATTCCATTAGAGTAACCGAACCCGAGATTACGGACTTCGTACCCGTGAAATCTGTACCACCTCGAAGAAGAACCAAAAACAATGTCAGGGTTGTGAAAGATGGTGAATCACTTTATTCATCTAAGGAGACAGTAAACATTGATGGAGTAGCAGCAGATGATGCTAAAACTAGTGTGAATGGAAGGGAAGATTCAAGTTGTCCAAGAGAGCTTCTGTCTGCTGGTGTACAGAAGGTAAATAAATACTCATAAATATTTTATGATTTTGTAGATCTTGATTATTTAATTATATTTTTCATTGAGATCAGTCGAATAACATGTGATATGAGATCAGTTTTACTGAGTTGGTTATAGGCTACCTTAACTATTTGATTTTCTTCCATGTCTACAATTAAACCAAACATATTGGTTGCTCTAGACCTCATTTGTTTTCATTAAGATTGAGATGTATGAATCTGAATGCATATCTAAATATTAAGATTTTAGATGTTTGAACATTAAGATGATGTATTAAGATGCACTACATAATTACGACTATTTGTTTTCTCTACATCTGAATATATAAAACTTGTCTTTATTTAAAGCTCAATGAATATACAATTTAAATAAAATACTAAATTAATCTAATACTATATCAATAAAATATTTTAAAAACATTATATCACAGTTATAATGGTGGTTGGTGGTGATGATTGTAAATGATGATAACAACTCACTATGTGTCACTTTGGTGATTGGTGGGGATTGTGGTTTTAGTGATCGGTGGTGGTGGTTGACAATGTTGGGCGGTGACAATAGTGGCGGTTAGAGGTGAAGATGGATAGAGTGGTGATGAGCTGCATGCCATCTTTGTAGAGACCTTTGAACAGACATCTAAATGATATTAAGGCATGTATGGACATGATTTGAAGTTGAAGTTTTGTTTGGACATGCAATTTGGATCTCTTAAGTTGTATTTTTCTTATAAACATGAAGACATCACAAGTTGTGAAAAATATCAAAATTATTCCAATTTTTAGACAATCTTACCAAATGAGTAAACCATAGTTCATAAATAAGATATTAGTATGTCTAAGGTGCCGCTTTTATAAAGTGCATATCTCCACGTTCCTCTTCTAAATATAATAAATGTTTGGGATTACAAACTTCCAAATACACATTAGTTTATAAAGATCCACTAGTCAACAATAGTAGTAAATAGGTATTCTTTAATATAAATCCTTTGACATGGTACAAACAATCTCTTCACGCCAAACATGTTTTTTTTTGTTGCAAAATATTAACTTATGGGTCATGTTTTACATTTAAAAAAAATTGAAATCACTATTTGAAATCTCAAATTCTTTTTTGGGGGAGAATTTACAATTTGAAATCTCGATTCCAAGTCGCATGTCCTAACACTGAATTAAACCATGATCCAATTCGCATGTCCAAACTCCTACTAAGACTTTGTTTCATGATCTTGATCATTCAGATCTTTTAGACACATAAAGTGATTGCAAAATTTTAAAAAACAAATAAACGTACTTAATGATTTAAGATTCAAATGTTCAAAATAGAGATGTGAGAAGTTTTGCTTTTGCTATCGACTGACCGTCCTGTTAGCAGTGCTATACTAGATTGGCACCCTAACTGGTACCTATACAGCTACTCCTTGTCGTACCGTTGACTCTATCTATTCATGGAATTTTCTTTATTTCATTTTCTAAAACAAACAAATTTAATGACTGAAATCTTAATGATTAAGATTAATACCTTCATCAAGTGCAACCAAATGAGGCCTTAGTTTGGTTGGGCTGAGGTTGTTGCACTTCTGCCACCTTTTGGCAGAGTAGGCACTAAGCCAATGAGCAATCACCATCCTTTTGTCAGCTCGACAATGAGCAAACCCCATCCTGTCGCCAACTTGATAGCCATGGGAGGCTGGTAGAGATGATTTACTTTCTTTGGTAAGCATTAACCGAAAAGAAGCCAGAGTTTCATGATTGGCTTTGATATGAGCATTTAGCCTATGAGCAAGTCATCACGTCGTCAGCTCGTCAACAAGCAAGCGAATGAGCAAGGCCAATCCTGTCGTCAGCTTGATGGGGGGTTGGTAGAGATGAATACTTTCTTTGGTAAGCATCAACTAAAAACAAGCCAAACTTTCATGAGAGTGACTTTGACACGACATTCATTTGAGATTGACTATGTGTTGTGTGCTAAGGTTAAGGTTTAGGAAACTGCACATTAGTTGCTAAAATACAGGTTTTTTTTTTTCCAGTTTAGGCTTTGGTATGAATGACATTGATAAGGCATTTCAGATTAAACATTAAAATCAGTGAATTTGGTAACTGAAAGAGAGAAAAGACTGAAGGTGCAAAAAGGAGCGAACCCAAGTTGTGAAAAGTTGTTACCTATTGAGCATATGATGACATGGCTCAGAAATGCAGCGCTGTAGAATGATATCTTATGATTACAGTATTCTGATTTGTATCATGATCTTAGGGCTCAAGTTGTTGGGGGCTGGCTGTTAAGTGTGGACAAGATAATCTGAGTAGGAACCATTAGTGTCTTTTACATTTGATTGTAGCTAGCTATAGATGTAGTTTGAGTCATGCAATTTTCTTTGGAAGGTTATTTCCTCTTTTCAGACATCTCTTCTGGTTGTCTGCACTTCAATAGAGGCACATGTGAGCCTTGGTGATGAGTGATAGATATCATTGAACATGCATAGTGATATTATGTTGTTACTCTTTCTCTTATACCTTATTCTGAAAAGGACGATGGGGTCTTAAATTCAAGGGTTAGAGCATGCAATACTTGTTGGGAATTTGGGCATTGTGATTCCTCAAGGTTTTTGAAATAATATTTTGGTAACTACTTAAAAAGTACTCTTACCTCACAATATTATTATCTTAAAATGCTTAGGACATGCTTGAAAAAATGTTGTAGAAGAGAGCCAAAATAATAGAAGTGTCATATTATAATGATTTTCTATTTCTAATTCCTCATTGTCAAGAAGAAGTATAGTGGAGCTTTCATTCTCCTTCTGATTCTTCGCATTGTTCAGATTTCGACTGTTTCCGCCACTGATGTTGGTAATGCTCATGTTGAACATCACAAAGGTGAAGACCCACAGGTTGGATGACTGTCTTTTAAAGTAAAAAACAATAGTTTGATCTCTATCCTACCTGCAAATTTGCACATGTGAGGCCAATTTACGATATCTCTCACCCTAATTTATAATTATCATCAGTAACCAATTCACCACAACTCTCGCACTGTTCCTATAACTACATCAGTAAGGAATGGATATTTTGCTGCTCACCAGGAGGAGACCAATTCTTTGAATGTTAACAGTTTTTTTTAAAAAACAATTCTTTTTGGCACCTTTTTTTTTTGAACATTGGTAAAGTTGTATTCTTCAGCATTAAGGACATGCTGGCCACCTTCAAAATTTACAGCCCTAAGCGAAATTACAAGCTCCCTATTAATTCTATAATTTGATCTACATCTTCTATGCAAAGTTGTTTACACCAAAAAAGTAAAGATACCAAACAATTCCATTTTACTTTGTGAATGGAATTAGATCTATCTTCAAAACATCTCCCATTTCTTTCCTTCCACACTGACCACCATATGCATGATGGTATTAGCTTCCACCACTTCTTTTGAGTCTTGCTACCCCCTCTTCTGATCCAACACTTTAAAAGATCCGAGGTGTGTTCTGGCATAGACCAGCTACATCATGTGATGTTGAGAAACAGCTCCCAGATCTGTGCAGTGAATTTGCAATGTAAAAATAGGTGATTGTTTGTTTCCCCAGTCAAATTGCACAGGAAAATTTGGCACCTTAGTACTCCACATTGCCTTCCACACTTTTCTCATGTTGCCCCCTTTAGTTTAACCCGTGTTATTGGAGCTCATTGTGAAGCATCTTCCCTTGATCCTCTCCAATCTGTCCCAGCCTTTTCCTCTCTTTCCTATATATTGCAGGTGCATTTTTTTTTGTTGGAAAAACCATTGAACTTCCTCCCTTCCGTAGACCTATTTGTTCCTCTTGAACCTTGTAATCCCGCACCCGCTAAATGCCTTGAAAGTTCCTCATCTGGTTGGATACTATCATCTCACTATCAGTGGAGCGGACACACATAGGGATTCCTTGTTCAGTGATACTTCTGTTCACCGGTGGTCATACCAAAGGTGTGTCGTATTGCCATTTTCAACTATACAGTCCACGATCTCTGGAACTCTTATTTTTCTTGATAATTCCTTTCAATGGGCTCACACATCGTATGGATGCTGCCTTCTGAGAAACAGATACATCTCGGCTCTTCCCTATTTTCCAAAATAAATGTGTTGCGGACATGTCACAACCATTTTCCATATAGCACCTTCATGATTCTTGTCTGGATTAACATGATGAGATCAATTTTGAGACCTTTGACCTCTGCGGAAAATTCTCCTGATGGGTCTACATTCTCATTTTTTGCCATTGTAATTTTTTTCCCTGCTTAGGTATCTGTAATGTGGGTATTTGGCTTTTAAAATACTTGAGAAATAATTCCATTCGAACCTGGTTAAACAGAAATTGCCCCATTTGGCAAAGATCTTGGTTGAGTCTTCTGATAATCTTATATTTCTTTACTTGTTTGGTATTCTGTTCTGCTGACCACTCTTTTCTTTGCTGCTCTTTTGATGATTTGGATCTTCTCAAGGGACACCTAGATTTTGTGACCTGTTGAATGATTTAGTCAGTGATTGATCATTTGTTCTTGTTAAGTGGTGTAGCTTTTAAATAGTTTAGAGGTAATGTTCTTTCTTATCTTGTCTCCTGTACAGGTTATGCTCGCGACTATTCCCTCAAAAGCAACTCTAGCAGGCGATCCCAATGATGATGAAGGTTTGCATTATAGATTACTGATTTTTGTATGCATGTTAAGAATATGTAGTTTAACTTTCATATTTCATAGGGGCATTACTGTTCTTTTTCATATATTATCTTGCTGAAATGTGATATCAATTGTCAAGATTCTTGAGATGGATAAAGATCTTTATTTACTTATATTTGTGGGCAAATAGAGAATACCTATTGTAGAGATAGATGGCAGTTTAAACACCTATGAATGATTGTGGTTTCATAAGCAACTTGTGTTACATACTTTTGACACTGGTTTGGTGTTTAGTAATGGAAGTTTTGAATTAAAAATGACAAAAAATGAAAAAATAGTCTTGCTTCCAATGAGGTTGGAATCAATATAATGGCTTGAGTCCTCGCAGGGACAAAAAAGTTTGGTGATTTTGTCCCCCCTAAACCTTTTTTTGAGATAAGGGTAACTTTGTATTCACAAAAAATTCATCATCCAAGGGATGATGAATTGGAAACTTAAATCCCACAGGGTGGTGGGCACACCTCAAAAAGCCATACAGAATTACAAGTTTCCTTTAAAATCGACCATCTCTATGCTTTCCCCTACCAACTCTTGCTTACACCAAAAAAATAAAAGACTTAAGCAATTCATTTCTATCTTCTGAAAACTATCATTTTGTCCTTCAAAACACCTAGCATTCCTTTCTTTCCATAGAGTCCACCATATACAGGCTGGAATAGTCTTCCACCAATCTTCACTTTTCCCTCTGTTGCCAATTCTTGTCCAGCTATTAAGGAGCTCCATGGTTGTCTTTGGCATCACCCAGCTAACCCCTAGTATACACAAAAACATATTCCACAATTTTGAAGCTGCTTTACAGTGAATGAACAAATGATTATTTACTTCTGCTTTCTGCTCACACATAAAGCATCTTGAGCAAAACTGCATCCCCCTTTTTTGTAATGCCTCATGTGTAAGGCAAGCTTTTCTTATGACCAACCAGACAAAACATGCTACTTTTAATGGGCTACTTGTTTTCCACACTAGCTTCCAAGGCCATTTTTTAGTTCACTGACTGATTGACATTTATCCTCCAGTAGCAAGGATTTGACTGTGAACATTCCTTTGTTATGTAACTTCCAACGTTACAACGTTACATGGTAGTTGGCTTAGTGTGATGTGCAGGATGACACCAAGCAATGAATCTTTGAAAATGGCAACTTTAAAAATGTTCAGGTCACATCTGGTCATCTTGTTGGATCTTCTGAAATGCCTATTTTAGTTTTTAGATAACAGTAGTATATGGGAGCAGGGGGGGACCCACCCTATGTCGTGGGGTGTCGACCGACACTGCTTCGTTGAAATTTTTTAGTATTATGTATCTTAAAAAATAGAAATATTCCTATAAATAATGTTAATGACACTTCTTGAACAACTGAGCTTCTTGGCTCATTGGTTTGCAGCGCGAATGTAATGGTCATTCGCCTAGGCGCTGCCCGATTTCGAGCCCCGATGAAGCCGAATTCAGCTTTTATTTTTGAAACATTTTTTCAGAGAAAAGTTTAATTTTAGAGGGATTCAAACCTCCAACTTCCTATGTATAATCAAATTATGCTAAATTAAACCAATTGCACTAGAATATTTAGTACTTAGTACTAGCTCCATTCTCTGATGAGGCTATTATCAATACATTTCAAATATGAAAACTCGTTGAGGAAAGTTTAGTAGTTTACTTGACTTACGTTTTATTAGTACATTTTAAATAGTTTTTATCAATATAATGTTATTATATTAATTATTTATCTTACTAAAAATCCTGCGTACGCCACTGTCTGGGAAATCTATGTGCACCTCGACTATTTCACTGGGTACATGCATTCCTGTATCAGCCATCACTACATATTTTTTTTGATGAACTAAATAATTCATTGAAGGCATCAAGAAGATGCAAATTACTTACAAAAGTAGAAGCAAAAGCAGGTGGAAAGAAATCACCTAACCTATTTTCCTATGTGGGGATATGAATTCTTGTCTCCTATGGTCTTCTATCTAACTTCATCGACTGCTATGCCACATTTTTTGTGTGCCTTGATTCTATTTTATATTTCTTTTTAGAAAGACCTATTTCTAATTTATTCTAAATTTAGGCCAATTTTGTAAATGATAACTAATGACGATTAAGTTAATTTTAGTTGGACAAAATCATATATTCATATTTATTTTATGTCAAACTCATGTAGTAGCATATCTATCATATAATAATGTTGAAAGAGTATGTTCTTCCAGAATAAAGATGAAATATTAAAGAGAAACCAAAATATGGTGTAACGGTTAATAGGTTTAAGATAATAAAAAATAAAGGGAAGCAAAAGAGATTTTTGTTTATCTATCTTCTCACGTATACTTCTTGTATATTGGATTTATCCTTTCCCCCTTGGGTCTCGGACCATGGAAAATAGGTGGTTACTTGTGAGGCTAATGCATGACCTTGCCAGGTGGGTCCTCGATAAAAATTTACAAAGGCTGTCATGCTACCAACTAAATTCACAACATTTGCTTAGGGAAACTTCCCACATTAGATGTTGAGTTGGGATAGTCTAGGTGCATCTTTATTTTTTCGATGGTCGTTTATGAGTTGGGAACCATATACACTTATGATAAAATCTGGAAAGGTGACTGTCGTTGCGTTTTCTTTAACAATTTTGGTAATTTATGTTAATGAAGTGGACCTGGGCCTATCTTAACCTGAAGGCTAGCTCATGAGAGGAGGATTGCCCAAGGCCAGAGTCCATGTTCTCATGCCGAAAATGATGTGAGACTCCAACAAGACCATATAAAGAGACCACCCAGACTGTCATGAATGAAGAATCCCACATCGGTGATGGAAGAGGTCCTGGGTTTCCTTATTATGGCTTGAACAATCCTCACCCCTTGAGCTAGCTTTGGGTTGAGTTAGGCCCAAGGTCCATTTCTTTATCATAGTATTAGAGACAAAGCAAGACCCACCCCAATTCATCGTTTCTGATGTTGGGCCACCCGTCTTTTGTTGATTGTTGTCCATGCTCAAATGTCTAGTCTTGGGTGTTTGGTGGTGGTGATGGTGTTTTAATGACACATCGCTTATGGGATGGGAACATGGACTTTTTATATGGCCTTGGGCAATCCTCCTCTCATGAGCTTAGCTTTTAGAGTTGAATTGGCCCAAGGTCCATTTCTTTAACAGTTTCAATGTCATTGACGAACTAGTATTAAGCACTAACTGTGCATATTTTACTGCTCTTTTGCCATCCTCAAAAAGTTAATATGTGAATAATTTGGCTGCAGTGCCAATCCATTGCCTTGACAATGGTCAAGTGGAGCAGGGTGCTTTATCTGTACAGAATCTTGCGACAGTTGCTGATATGAGTAGCACTAGTTCTTCGGTTTCTTTCAATCACTTACCAGATGTCCTGTGAGCATTCTATATTTTATATCTTTTGGCTGTGACTTGTGGCTACTTTTGGGCTACAAATGTGTTAACTAATGGACTTTACCAGCATTTACATTTTCTTCATGCAGTAAGCAGGAAACTTTCCATAGCTTTCACATTCACCCTTTTATTCAAAATAGGTTAAGGCAAATGGAGAGCAGGGTCCCTTTGGATGGTAATGTTTGTGATATTATGGTAAAAGCTTAAGGATGTAACTTATAAATTAAACATTCATGTTATTTATCATGCTCACAGATTTGAGACAAGGTGAGGTTTCTCAGATTGAAGCATCTTCCAGTTCAGGAATCTGCTGCAGTCAACATTCGCAACATTCAACTTCTGGCGACCTCTTCAAAATGAATGGTGCTTGCTCTGAACAGTTGGTAAAGGCGAGTGCTATGGGCCTGCTGGAGCTTTCACCAGCAGATGAGGTGGAAGGAGAGCTCGTTTATTACCAGCACAGACTGCTTTGTAATGCTGTTGCAAGGAAACGTTTTGGTGGTCTCTTCTATAATCCCCCTTTCTTAATATCGTGCATGTTAACATTATTGCTACCTTCTGTTGTGAGTGTTGTCTGAGGACCACAGAGTATAACTTGCACCTATTGTTGTGCTTTTACATGCGCTAGAACTCATGGATATTGTTGTTGAATTAACTGATGCTCATTTAATTTCTTTGCAGATAATTTAATTGTTAAGGTTGTGAATAGTCTCCAACAGGAGACTGATGCTGCTAGGCAACGAGAATGGGATGCTGTGTTAGTTAGCCAGTATCTTTATGAGCTTAGGGAAGCCAAAAAGCAAGGAAGGAAAGAAAAACGACATAAGGAGGCACAGACTGTACTGGCTGCTGCAACTGCTGCAGCTGCTGCATCGTCTAGGATTTCATCATTGAGGAAAGATAATATAGAAGAATCCGTGCATCAGGAGGTTGTAAATCTATTCATGTTAGGACTTATGAGTCACTTAAGCAGTATTAACAACTATTTCATAATTTCAGTCGTAGTTTTCATCATACTGAATGTGTTTGTTTTTCCCCTCTGTGCTGGATGTTTTGAAGATGAATGCTACCAACGAAAGACTTAGGCTTTCTTCTCAACAGAATCCTCGGGTCAAGGAGACGCTTTCAAGGCCGACTGCTATGCGCATATTACCAGAAACGAACTCTGATCTTGTCCAGCTAAGTTCAGATATTTTGAAAGACCATGCCAGAACTTGTGATGTGTGCACACGGTCCGAGACCATTCTAAATCCTATCTTAGTTTGTACCAGCTGTAAGGTAGGACGCGCTACTCCAACTGTGTTTATCCTTTATTAATCTTTTCCTAAGTTCAATTTTCCTTGTTCATAGGTTGCTGTTCACTTGGATTGCTATCGAAGTGTAAGAAACTCAACAGGTCCTTGGTACTGTGAACTATGCGAGGAATTATTGTCATCTGGGGGCTCTGGAGCTCAAGGTTCTCATCTTTGGGAGAAGGAGAAACCTTGTTTTGTCGCAGAATGTGAGTTATGTGGCGGTACTGCTGGTGCTTTTAGAAAGTCAAATGATGGTCAATGGGTTCACGCCTTCTGTGCTGAAGTAAATTATGATCTTCATGTTTGAGTATTCATCATTCCGCACTAGCTTTATATATTTATTGCATTGATGATTGCTCTAATTTCTGTTTCTTCTGTAGTGGGCCTTTGAATCAACATTCAGAAGAGGACAAGTACATCCAATTGAGGGTCTGGTATGTGTTTAACAGAATTAAGAATGTCTTTTGCTCATTTCGGTTGTGTTTAGGTCTGGAAAGCTGGACCAGGATAGTCACTGTAATAGTTACTGTATTATTTATTGTGTTAATGACAGGCAACTGTCCCCAAGGGTAATGATGTCTGCCTTGTTTGCCAGCGGAGAAAAGGTGTATGCACTAAGGTAGAAGATGTGGAAGGGCCTTTTTCCTTTTGATGTTGTGTTAAGCTTGGTCTGCTTATTTAAATATTTTGTTATTTGCAGTGTAGTTATGGTCACTGTCAGAGCACATTCCATCCCTCTTGTGCTAGAAGTGCTGGCTTGTTTTTAAGCATGAGAACTAATGGTGGCAAGCTGCAGCACAAAGCTTATTGCGATAAACATAGTTTGGAACAGAGACTTAAGGTTGGTCTTGTCTTTGTTAGTGGAATGATTGCAAGTTTCTTTAATGACTACTACTTGTGTCGTATGCTCATTTTGTGTCAAATGTGTTCAGTCCGAGACTCAGAGACATGGGGTGGAAGAATTGAAGAGTCTGAAGCAAGTCAGGGTAAGTGATGATATTCACCTGATTATTTATCATGTTTCAATTTGCAGCAGTTGTCTAATTGGTTCTGTGCTAAAACTAAATAGTCTATTTGATCTAGTGCTCTTACTTAAAGTTGATGGTTGAGATGGGACATAGATATCTTCTGCATTGAAAGTTTAAATTGGAGAATTGAGACTTAATATTACCAGTTCAATATAATATTCCTATGTTTACTTAGCAATAGGTTACTCTTTAAGAGGGTGGCAAAGTGACTAGGTGATGGTTCTAGAAATTGGAGACTGTTTGGGTTGTAATAGATGAAAGGATCCCCAGTTTTAAAAAAAAAGAAAGGATAGTTGAAAGGATCCCCAATCTTGACCTTTTGAACTGTAGTCCTCTTTAGTTATTCACTTGCTGTTTTGTCCTTATAACTGTGAATAGCTATTTTTGCTACTACATTTGGTTTCTGCTTAGCATTATCAATAACCTGTTAGCATAGAATGTATCAAAAGAAGAAACCGTTTGGAAGTGAGACGTGTTTGAAGTCTTTTTAATAGACAGACGCATGAGCATAAAAGTTACTGGGAACAAAACTAATACTTTCAAAGTAGAGAATCTATAAAAATTCAGCTGGACCGAAGAAATATGAAACACAAGCAATTAGACAAACCATGCCAAAGTAGAAATTGTGTGCAACCCTTCTCTTTTTTTTTGATGAATTAAGAGGTTGTATTAAGCCCTTCTCTTTTTTTTTTTGATGAATTAAGAGGTTGTATTAAGAAGCATCAAGAAGATGCAAGAATTTACAGAGAGAAATAGGTGATAATTCCATGGCAACAAAAAACATTTAGGTTCTGGGAGTTAAAACCTAAAGCAAAAACTCTAGGCTGTTAAGCCATTGAGAGGGAACTAATGAAATCTAAAAGGGGAATGATATCATTTACAGGGGAAATGTTGCTTTGTGAACAAGTTACCTTTGTGTGATGTAGGTTAGCTCAGGTAGCATGCTGGAATTTTGAATTCAGTCATTTACTGGATAATATTTGAACCTGAATCAGGCTGTAACTTGCAAATTTCCCATTGATGTTTAAGTAGTTGAATTGGGTCCTAGAAATTTTGATCATTGTTCCTTTTTTGTTTTTGCTGAAAATGAGTGATTCGATTAAAATCCTCTTTGAGACCTGGAAGGTGAATCACCTCTTCATTACTTCCTGCTGTTGGGCTTGTTTCAGAACATGGAGTTGAAATCAAAGTAAAATGAGTACTTAGAGTTTTCCTGTTGTCCCCCCCCAAGCCCAAGCCCAACCCCCTTTTTTTTAGGAAACTTGTAATAACATTGTATTCAGGGTTTGGGTGCCATTCTGAAGTGGGAATGTTATGTCTTGGCTTCGTAAATCCTTTGTGGTTATTCCCAGTCTGGGAAGCTCGTTTTCATTATATGCTGCAGTTATGAGTTACTGTTTGCAATATGATATTGAAGCATTCTATTTCTGTCTATTACCAGCATGAACATACTTTTGATTTTAGAATGGCCAAAGATCCTAATCCTATCAAATCCTCCTGTGCAGGTTGAATTGGAGCGATTACGGCTGTTATGCGAAAGAATTGTCAAGCGAGAGAAGCTGAAGGTAGCCTTTGTTTTCTTTTCCACACTCTTTGCAGATTATATGGCATAAATAGTCGTGAATACTGTTCTTGCATTTTTTCTGGTTGGTATCACTATTAGCCGCTGCCTTGTCAAACTCATTACTTTTGTTACATTGCTGGTACACACTATTTACTTATTCCATTTATTAGATATTGTTGTTAGGATGGTGTCTTGTAGTATTGCAATCTTATGACTGCATTGACTTTCGGTTGATGTGAATCAATTGTTTTCTTGGTAAGAAGAAATATTTTATTTGAGAGAAGATGAGTATTATTTATAGATATTGCATGAAGTGTGCATGAATATTTACAACAGTAATACGGCCTTCACATCAGGGTCCTATCTATCATAGTATGGATTCTGATGTGTTTAATGAGTGGCCCAGAAATACCTTTTTACGTATATTTACAATGGTAATACTGCCTTCACATCAGTGTTCTATCTGTCACAGTATGGATTTTAATATGTTTAATCAGTGGCCCAGGAATACCTTTTTTATGTATCATTGGGAGGTGCATTAACATAATAAGGTAGTTAAGCGGCAATTAATCTGATTTTCAATATCAAAATAGATGGAATAACTGTCTCCATTCCTAATCCCGAGTTATTAAGAAGTAAAAACAGATGAGATTATGGAAGTAAATATTCTTGCATTTATTGCTACTGCACTAACAAAAGACTAAGCATAGAAATCCAATCACTAGGATGAAGACTGGCGCCTACTAAAATAAAGGGGAGTAGGTTATGAAGACTAAAAAAATGAATTAAGGTGGATAATACGTCATCATTATACTTTGTCATTTTACGTAGTTATAAAGTTGAACATTTGTTTAGTCAATTTTAACAGCCCACCAGGCACTACATCATAGGCACATTGAGAGTGGAGATAATTGTACCCATGGATTCTGAATCACTAGCTAATTCCTCTTTACACCAAGAAGAACCATGGTAGGAAGAAACATTGTGAGAAATGTCCATGAGAAATAGCTTCAAAGTGGATTTGCATCCTCTATTACAGGGTCCTTTTTTTCCCTTCCTTATATCGTAGTGGGACATTAGCAGGTGAACGTCTATCTGCTATTTGGTGTATGTGTTACCTGGCAGATATATGATGATATGGTTTCCATGCTTGAGAAGGGGGAAGGGTTCAGCTTCTTTTCTTTTATGCTATATGTTCTTCTGGTGTCATAGCTGATGGACGGTTCTTTGATTTGCAGCGTGAAGTAATTCTTTGCTCACATGATATTCTGGCTTCTAGTAGAGACAATGCTGTTTTATCTGCTCTGACTCGACACCCTTACTTCCAACCTGATGTTAGTTCAGATTCAGCTACTACGACTTCCATTAAAGGCTACACTGATGGCTATAAATCAGGCAGTGAAACAATACAAAGATCCGATGACATAACGGTAGACAGTGCTGTAGCAGGAAAACGGCGCATTAAGTTTCCCGTGTCGATGGACAATGATCAGAAGACTGATGATAGTTCTACATCACCCAACCCTGTCACACAAAAAACTTCACGAGTGTCATTTTCTGGGAAGCAAATTCCATATAGAGCTTCTTCCATTTCTACAGATCACGGGGACATGCGATTGCGATACAGAAAGGTAGAGTTATGTTTGATCTGATTTATTAGAATGACATACTTCGTAACAGGGAATATCCATACTTTTAGTTGGATGTATTGGTTAAATATTTGATATGCATATTTTTAGCTGGAATTTCAATCCTAACCAGTTTGTTGCATAAACAGCATATGGAAACTTTTGAGAAAGAGCTGGTAATGACTTCAGATCAAGCCTCAGTGAAGAACCAGCGATTACCTAAAGGGTACGTCTATGTCCCAATCCGGTGTCTTCCTAAGGAGGAGGAAGCTGCTCCAGACGAGTGTTCTGGAGAACCACTGGATCCTGATGGATAGGTTTAGGCCGAGTAATTGTAGGATTTTGGCACATGTGTCTGGCATTTTGCTGCTGGTACACCATTTTTATCTGAACCATCGGGAAGGATGCCCTATTTAAAGACAAGATGATGACAACAAGCGCCCGCCCTTCCAGGAGCCATCGAGATTAGGTTTGATTGTTGTATATTCAGAGCTTACTTACTGTACAGTGGATCTTCAAGTGGTTTGAATGGCTCTGCCACAATGGTTGTTTATTGTGAGCTGATTGGTGGCAATAGCTCTGCTTCTTGTAATTGTATACAGTAGTTAGAAGATCTCCCCTACTACTCAAGCTTTGTAAAGTTATTGTAAATATTCTCGCAATATTAATTGATAGCAATTAGCGCAGAGCAATGAGTTTTTAAATTTATCATCATAGTTTGAGATTCTTTTAGTGTTCTCTTGTACCGCTTTCAGGTAGCTGCTGTTGTGTGAATCTAGGAGTTTTTCATTGTTCTCATTAGTGGATTTTGTGCATTGCCGCTCCCAGTCTGATATGAGTTTGTGGCATTGCGTCCTTGGCTTCATATCCTTATTATGGAAGCTACTTTACTCTGTTTAATGTTTTATACTTTGTGCTCTCATTTTCAGTTTCTCTTGTCATCTGCGTCTTTTATTGATTTGTGAGAAATTTTGCTGGTGAGAATGATAACTTGTTAACGGTACCATTATTTTGTTTCTTTTTCTTTCTTGTTATTAAGGTCAGTGTTTGAATATAAAATTACGTGGATAAGTAAATATATACTAGTTAATTAGTTGACATAGTTACAATTTGCCTTAATTATAGTTCACGACCTACTTTTAGCTATAATTACACGGCTCAATATTTTAGTTTTGTATAATTCACACATTTGTATCATTCAGAATCTGTGTAATATAATTTGTATAACTGTTTAAAGTTCAAATGTTTGTGTTTGTATAAATTCGTTATTTTGAGTTTATACAAAAATAGTTGAATTATACAAACTCACCCGTAAATTATACAAACCTGCGCATTATACAAATCTATGAATTATACAAATGAGACAGTTTAAACTGCACCTACACCCCATAAATATGCAAACTATAGTTGAGCATAATTAAATTTATTATGGTGACTATTTACAAAAGTATCCTATAAAATTTCATAATTTACTGCATTGATTACTTAACATGTATTTTACTTCATTAATAATAAATTATATTAATTTGATATAAATTTGACTATTTAAGAATATTTCTTTCATTTTAATAAATATTCCGTACGAAGTTTTTATTGTTATTGAAGTCTCATAAAAAACATTATATTTTTTTTATTAAAATGAAAGAAATATTCTTAAATAGTCAAATTTTGGTCAAATTAAAATCACTTCTCGTACTACCAAACCAGTAGAATTTTTTTAGAATTTAGGGACACTGTTTAAAAAAACATTATGCAAAACTTTTTTTTTTTTTTGTAAAGAAAAATTATGCAAGAATTATTTAATCTTAAATAATTTGTCTGAAAAGCATTAAGAAAAGATATAATTAATAATACAACTACTGTAAAAGTGACATTGAAGACAAGACCAGGAGAGCTCACGAATCTGAAGAATCCCTCTTCTCAAAGAGAATTTCTGATCAATTTACACTTTTTCTATCAGTTTTCTTGTTAATTTAATGGATTTTTCAGAGCTATGGGCTATATTTGGACCTGGGGTCGCCGGCGCTGTCTTCGGCGCCGGATGGTGGTTCTGGGTTGACGCCGTTGTTTGTAGCTCCGTCAAAATCTCTTTCCTTCATTATCTTCCAGGTACTTCTCTTTAATTGCCCTCATTTCTTGTGGGTGCGCGTTAATTCTTGATTTTTCTGGGTTGTTGATATAGGGTTTTACTAAGATGGTTGATTTTTGACTTGATTCTTGACATGTAGGTTTTTGGATATGATTCTTGATTTTTGATATATGGGTTTTGAGTAAGGTTTTTGTTTTGTTCACCTTTTTTGTTATTTGGAATATTGTAGGTATATTTGCATCTTTGGCTGCTTTGATGTTTAATTGCGTCAGAAAAGAGGATATTGATTACTCACCTTATGATGAAGGAGAGTGGAGGTATGAAAATAATGTATTCTATGTGAATGAACTCGTTTGTTGTTGAGAATTGGACTTAAATTTGTTCAAAGATCGACCCCCTTTTTCTGGGTGTTGATGTTTCATTGGCTTGAACATTGATCCTTCTAGCTTCTTGAGTAGTAATTTGTATGTCTTGTTCTGATTGTTTCGCCTGAGATAGAGATTACAGAAAGTGGTTTGCTATTCAGGATTATCAATTGTATCACTGTAGTTTAATTACACAATAGTGGTGTAATTGACTCAATCAAGTGCAACTAAAAGAAAAAAATGTTTTTATTGGTAATTTTTGAGTATGTTCAATGTATTATAGTTACTTCGACTACACTAGTTCACCTCAATCTTTTGATTTGCACCTGCAATCAAGTTGAAAGGTTTAGGTGTGAGAGTGGGATGAGAAGGAAGAGAGAGAGAGAGAGAGAGAGGAGCAACAAAGGTGTCCGAAAATGTCAATTGATCAGCTCTTTTCCCTCCAAGTCTTGATCTAGTGTGCTCCTTTTTTCCTCGCAGTTGATTACAAACGGCTAGGAGTAATCTCTTCCATCTGTCACTTCACACGCCTTTTGTTAGAGAGCATCACAAATCACCTCTTGTATTAAAGATTGTCTAGTTGGAAAAGAAATTGAGAAAATGATTGGTTGGTGCAATAGAAATTTGACATGCACAACTGTGAGCAAAGGAAATCAAGGTTAATTTGAGTCTTGGAGAAGGTTCTTGTAGTCGTGCTGGACTCTTACTGCTCATGCTAGACCATCGGAGGATGATGTAGATGAGCCATTAATTGAGTCCCATGAAACTTCACCAGTCAATACTATAGCAGTTGTATTGTCTAAGAAGATCCTACTAGCTGCGGAAATATAACATAGAGATTACACATGATGAGCGGATTCAAAAGATACTATCCAATAGGACAACTGAGGAAGAAACTAAAATCTTCCTCAAATGGTAACTGTATCACAACAGATTAAGTAGGATGTGTTGCCGGCGTTTATTCCTTCACCACTGTATATTGAAGTTGGGGAAAAATATACATTTGCGAAGGAGTCGATTGCAGAAAATAAGTCATGCTCACTGTGTTTTTTTTTTGATGAAGTAAGTAGATTCATTTCAAGGCATCAAGAAGATGCAAGCTTTACAAGGATAGATCAGTTAAGCTCACAAAAAAAAGGATTTGTAGCCTCTTTCTAAGCTTGATGGGTTTACCATCTTATTATTTGTATCAATAGTCATGCTAGGTAGTATCTCTTAAATTTCACATCTTGTGTAATCTTCACAACAGGTGGATCTCCTTAAACTGCACAACTGTTAAATCCGTGGATGAAACTTCAAAGGATGTCATAATTGGCTTATCAACACCATCTTCCAATGGTCTATCTTGAACTGTTACAGTACTGTGTTTTTCTAGCATGAGTACTAAAATTTCTCCAGAACCTGAGTTGCCCTAAGGATGCCAATACAGTATGCAAGCTATCCAAATCATTTTCATTAAAAGCCATTACTTCGTATTTTAAAGCGATGTAAAGTGATCATCATTTTATGAGTGAAGTCATGGGCTTTAAGTAACGATACACTAAGGTGATCTTAATGAGAAGAGACGGTTTTTGAGTATCACCTTTGAGGAGTTGGGTTTATATCGACATTTATTTATACTGAATGTTGAAATTAGTTACTTTATTTGCAAATTGTACATTTATGTCTCTATTTCCTATCCCTATAAGTGGTGAAAAGAATAGATGCATTTAGAAGGAACTTCTCTTGGCAAGGATACACTTATAAAAGGAAAATCCATCTGGTTAAATCGGAAACTATCACAGCTAGTAAGAAGAATGGGGGATTCGAGTTAGGCATTAGGAACTTAAGAATGCAGTATCAAAGTTTACTGATGAAATGACTATGGAGATTTTCAACGGAAGGAGAGGTTATTTGGAAAGATGTAGTCAAGGCTAACTATGGGATGAAAGGAAGATGAGTAACAAATGTTGTCCAGTAGTCCTTATGGAGGTGATTGTTTGAAGATTTCCTTCTGGAAAGACAAATGAATAGGCAAAGGTGCCTTGGAAGAACTCTTTCCTAGTATTCATACTTTATGCCCGCAACAAGAAGCAATTGTGGGGAAGTATGGGCAAACAATGGCTGGAATCTCAGTTTCAGAAGGCAACTCAATGATTGGGAGATTGTAAGACTAAAATAATTTTAAAACACAATGGAGCAATTCAAAGGAGTAACTTTAGGTGTACATGCTAAGTTCAAGCTTCATCTACTTCATGAACAAAAGGAAGTAAACATATGATGCATGCCTGTGGTGCTTGGTTATTCTTTTCCATAAACGAAGCATAAAAGCAATTCCAGGTGAATATTACTTCCTTGAAAATTTGAAATTCACACATATTAGCAGGCAATGGAATTGTAATGCCCACCACCAAAAAGTCCCAACTATGTAATAAGGATGGATTCAACTGGAGGGCATATACCTCTCTTTTTTCTCAAGGGCATAATATTGTTTGGCCCATTGACTTCATAGTTGCAATAAATAAATAAAAATCAAGTACTGAAACCATAAAACGCTAAAGCTTCAGTCATCGAAAATTTCTGGTTGAACTTTTTCTGTTTTTGCATGTGTGGAAATGTAAACCAACACCGAAGAGAACTAAGTTCAGTTCGGTCAAATCAGTTTAAGGCTCATCCTTTTCAAGTTGAACATGCAGCCAAAAAAGCACCCAGACCAATATTTTTCAAGTTTTGTTTATTGTCACTCTCCCAATTATATGTGCAACTGAGTCCTGCCCACTTAAGTGTAGCTCACCCAGCTTTAACGGGTATCAAGTGGCACTCCAACTTAATCCAGTAAACTTTCAAGCCCCTAACCAGTAACCAGTTCATTCCCCCCAACCTGAAGCAACACGTTCAGAAAATGCTTCACAACAACAAGAGCAAGAAGTTGGCAGGCTGGAAGAGACAATATCTTTCATTGGGGGCCAGTGTCACTCTGATCAACAGTGTGCTCAGCTCACTTCTTCTGAAAAGATTGGACGGATTGAGATGAAACTTCCTTTGGATAGGAAATAAACAATCTAATTCTTTCTGCCTTGTGAATGAAAAGAAGTCACTCGAGACAAGGAAAGGCGGTCTTGGTACTAAAAACTTATAGAGACATAACGATAGCATGTTGATGAAATGGCATGGAAGGTTCAACAAGGAGGTAGATGCACTTTGGAGGAGGGTTTTGGTGTAAAATATCACACTTGAGAGTCCCTGGATTACCGAAATCTCAACAATACCTCATGTTACTGGA